CTGCTCCCGCCGCCTCCGCCAGGCGGCGCCCTCGGCCCGGCCGTGAGGGGAGCGCTCCGCTGAGCCCCGGGAGGGGCCGAACCCCGGCCGTGAGGGGATCGCTCCGGTGAGCCCCGGGACGGGCTGAGGCCGAGCCCCGGCCGTGAGGGGAGCGCTCCGCGTAGCCCCGGGACCAGCCGAGGCCGAGCCCCGGCCGTGAGGGGAGCGCTCCAGTGAACCCCGGGACGGGCCGAACCCCGGCCGTGAGGGGAGCGCTCCGGTGAGCCCCGGGACGGGCCGAGCCCCGGCCGTGAGGGGAGCGCTCCGCGTAGCCCCGGGACCAGCCGAGGCCGAGCCCCGGCCGTGAGGGGAGCGCTCCGCTGAGCCCCGGGACGGGCCGAGCCCCGGCCGTGACGGGATCGCTCCGGTGAGTCCCGGGACCAGCCGAGGCCGAGCCCCGGCCGTGAGGGGAGCGCTCCGCTGAGCCCCGGGACGGGCCGAGCCCCGGCCGTGAGGGGAGCGCTCCGGTGAGCCCCGGGACGGGCCGAGTCCCGGCCGTGAGGGGAGCGCTCCGCGTAGCCCCGGGACCAGCCGAGGCCGAGCCCCGGCCGTGAGGGGATCGCTCCGGTGAGCCCCGGGACGGGCCGAGCCCCGGCCGTGAGGGGAGCGCTCCAGTGAACCCCGGGACCGGCCGAGCCCCGGCCGTGAGGGGAGCGCTCCAGTGAACCCCGGGACGGGCCGAACCCCGGCCGTGAGGGGAGCGCTCCGCTGAGCCCCGGGACCGGCCGAGGCCGAGCCCCGGCCGTGCAGGGTGTCCCGGTGCCCTGCGGTGCCAGGTGAGCCCGGTGGCTGCGGCTGTTTGCCGTATCTCAGTCGCAGCCCTCTGCCCAGCTCTGCAATCCCAATCTTTATGGGGCAGAAGTGTCATATGACACAGGGATGACTGCCAAATACCAGCTAGTTTTGACATAATGCCTTGGCAGAACACAGAGATGCTCAGAGAGGAGACACAGTATTAATTCTACTAGAGAGACTGGTACTGTCAGCGTCCTGGTCTAACGAGCTTTTGGGTTCACGCCTTTTTATTTTGTTTTTGTGGGTTTGTTTGTTTATTTGTCTGGTTTGGTTTGGTTTTTGTTGTTTGGGGGGTTGTTTGTTTGTATTGGGCTTTTTGGTTGTTTGGTAGGGGTTTTTTGGTTTCGTTGTTTGGCTGGGGTTTTTTTTAGTTTTGTTTTGTTCCACTATTTTCTCCAATGCTAGCATTTTGTGGGTGGGTACTCTGTGGCTGACAAACTACTGATGAAGGTCCCAAGGTTTATAATAGCGACAAAGGAGGACGGCAGACTGCATAGAAGAGAAAAGCTGTAACACTGTAGCTGAAGGGAACCCCGCTGAAGTAATGTCTGTTGGACTTCATAGTAAGTCCCTAGAAATGAGGAAAGATGTAACAAGGAGCTTTGAACAGCTACATGAGATACTGCAATAGTTAGAAACTGAATGCCCATAATTGAAATTCCTGTCAGATGTAGCCAGGGCAGATGGAAACAAGACTGTTCAACTTCCTGCGCAAAAGAGGGGAATAGTATTGCCCTCAGCCGCAGCAGCTAGTAACAGAAATTCAAACTATGGCTGAGCAACGTGTGTTTTCATGTCACAGGGGCTGTGAGATACCGTGGCAGTAGCACACGCAACAGCCAGCCCACTGCTCCGGAGGGAATGACAGCTTCCGAGCCATCCAGCAGGGACTGAGGGCCCCTTCTGCACACAGAGACAAGTCCTGCTCCACCGAGAACACAAAGAGCTGAACCTCAAGTCAAAATTAAAGAGCTCAGGTATCTGCTAGTTTTCTTGAATATTGACGGGATTTTGAGCAGGGATGGAGAGAAGGAAGGGAGACCAGAATACACTCTTGAGAACAAATTCTGTTGTGACATTTTCCTCATAACTACTCATTCTCTGGCAGTCTTTTATCTGTATTATTATTCCTTATAAATTCAGGTGTTGAAAAGAAGTCAAGTATGCACACTAAAAATACTATGTTACTAATACAGTTTAAGCAAAAGAAGAAACAGACCACTCAGAAGGCCATGCTAATAGCCTTAGCAAAGTTAGAGTAAAGAAGTGGTTAAGGATCTAGATGATTTAATCCAGTTTTAAGAAAAGGTTTTAGAGTGAGCAATTAGATGCTGTTTAAGGAATTAATCGCTAATGGGTCATTAACTCTGACTGGTATTGTACAATTAACAAGCCGAGGCAGGATTATTAGACTCAGCACCCAATTAAGGAGGAGAAGATATTTACAACAAAATGAACAAATGGGCTTTTAAAATGGAATGGAACAATTTGAAAGAAAGTGTAGGAACACAGAAAACTAGACAGGCTAGAAGAAAGATGTGTTTGCATATGCCTCTGTCTCTTTATTTGTCCACTTATGTGTAGCTAGTAAAATACTCATTTTTAGCAATAAACTCACAGCTTTCCTTGAAGGACATGAGTGCACAAAGTTGATCCACTTACAGGGTTCACCTTATACCTGTACAACGTATAAGAAAGACCTGTTCAATATGCCAATAAAGGAACAACCACTATATCTTGCCATAATCTTTATTAGTTTGCAGGTGCTGAATCGGGACCTTATTAAAAGTGAGCAGGCATCTTCAGCTGCTACTTCTGCTGCCCCATCATTGTGGTTGTATCTACTGCCAGTCTTTGACTATCTCAAGTAACCAAGCATCAGCGCTGGTGACAGCTGATCAGGAATTAGAGGGCTTCTTTCCAGCGGCTTTACAGGATACAGAAAAAATGTAGGTAAGAGAAAAGGGAGGGTAGTAATGCCAAAATATGGCATTAAGCACTATTGAAATCTTGCAGAGTTGCCTTATTAACCATGAGCAATAAGCACAGGTGAGAACTTTAGAGCAGCAATTTAATGTGCTTACCTGCACATTAAAACATAGGGTTTTCAGCTTCAGAGCCACAACTGGACTGCAGCCAAATAATGACAAGTGAGATTGTTCCTACCCTGAGAAGGAAAAGTGTGCAGAGCCTGTGCAGTCACTCATTAGTGTGTGTCTCTTGCTGACACAAACCAGGCCATGCAGGCACTTCTCAAGCACACCAAGATAAATCCTTCTCTTGCAGTCACCAAAAATGCCATGCCTTCTTGCAACTGGTGATGCAAGCAAAGCTCACCTGTGAAAGGACCACTAGAATAAGACCTAAAAACAGAAGCAATACGATTTTTGTTCTCCTCTTTTACCTGAGTAAGTTACTAGAAGTTAGCAAACTACCTCCCTGGTCCTGACAGAAATGGCAGTTCTTTTCCTGGCAACACTTCCTCTCTCTGCTAAGGAAGCAAAGAGATGTGTGCTGGGAAGGGTGAGCACCACCACAAATGCACACACAGCAGAACTGTGAAGATGAGAGCCCAGCAGGACAGTCTCCCCCAGCAGAGCTTCATTCCCCCCCAGATTCAGGGTGGACTACTTACTTGGCTTCCCTTCATGTCCTGGACCAGCACAGATCAGGAGAGGGAAGCTGGGGGTCCTGAACATAGTGTGTTGCTCTGGTCCAGTGAGGCAGGTTGGATCTGCAGGGAGGCTGGGGACAGAGGAAAAGGCGTTTGAAAACAACAGGGATTCCTATTATCTGTAAAAGAAGCTCTCCATACAATAGATGGAGCTGCTGTGGAGAAGGCTATGAAGGGATGTTTAGAAACTGCTGTCTGAGGTTAAAAAGCTCGCTGAAGTGAAGCTGAACAAGGCTGACATACTTGTTTCTGACAGGACTCTTAAAAGATACGCACAGATTGTGAAAATATAATTAGACGCCAGCCTTTGTCTGGCCACAACGAGTGGGAAATGGTGAAAGGAGAGGTCTCCCAGTCTGCACTGAATCATCCCCAGGACACAATGAGGGCACTTGTGCATCCTTCTCTCTTCCCTAATGAGAAACATTAATTGCCACAACCTCCCAAGTGTGTAGAGCATCCCATGCCCAGCAGAGGAGAAGGAGTGTTTCATTACAGCTTCTCAGCCCTATTACAGGCAGTAACCGAGATAATGAAAAATAAAGATGCCGCAGTTTTAGTTCGGGCAGCCTGGCGACGGGCATTGGGTGGGTAGGGGAGCGGGCATGACCCAGCTCTGTGCCAGCCTCCAGGGGCTGTCCTGGGCAGCCAGAGTAGGCAGGATGAGCCTGCCAGGACCCAGCCCAGTATCAGTGCCCAACCAGACACCGTCTGTCTCTCCTTCTGGGCAGCTTGGCTGCAGGGGGCAGGAGCCTTGGGGGTCCTGCCATTCCCCTTCTTTGCAGAGGCAAGGACTGTCACTGACTCCGGCCTGCGAGCCCACCTGAGCCTGGCACTACTCCACAAGGGCAATTGTGGAAGTGGTGTACCTGGCCCAAGGACTGCAAGGGCTCCAGACCCTCTGTGCCCACTCCCATCTGGGCACACTCTCCATCATGGGGATGCAGGCCCCAGTGCCACAGCCAGCTTGGACAGGGTTCTGCTGATGGAGGACAGAGAAGAGCCCACAGCCAGGCATCTCCCACCCCTCCGTGCATCACATGGAGGAGAGGGTCCAGCCCAAGATGCCCACTTGGGCTCAGAAACATGATACACAGCCTCCATGTAGATGGTGCCATTTAATGGTGTAAAAGTAGAACCCCCTTCCTGCAGTCCCCTCAGCACAGCAGTCCTGAGCTCCCAGCCACCTTATATGGCTCTTCGACCTACTGTAGCCTTTATTGCAACTAAAGCATCCAGCCAAGGAGGGAGAGCAAGAGAGATTGTTTTTCCTAAGCTACGATCAGGCCCCTAACTCTTCAGGGGTTGTGGAAAAGGGAATCAAAAGGACCACAAAATACAAAAGCAAGTCAAGGCATAGGGGAAAGGCTAGTGTAAGGGACAGCCCTCCTGTGCCTGGCCATCTGCGGCAGCTGAGGCAGGGTAAGAGTGTCCCTTGGGCCTTCTGGGATGCGCCTTCCCCATGGCTTTCTCCCAGGTGCTGAGAGGGAGTTCAGATTGTCTGCCAGGGCTTGCCAATGGACTGGATGTGCTCCTTGGCCTTCAGCCGCAGGGCGGCAATGCTGGTGTTGCGTGGGTCTGCCTCATCCAAAGGGAACTTGTCCACAAAGTTGGCCCCACACTGATAAGGTGGCGGTGGCCCCATGGCCCCCAGGGGCTGCAGCGCATGGGTCATTGCCGGAGAGTTCAGGAAGGGTGGTGGCGTGTAGCTGCTGGGCAGGCTCTGTGGTGAGGCCACAAAGCCAGGCAGGGTCTGCAGGGCCGTGCTGCTGGGCACGGGTGGGCTGAGCCACGTCTCCAGGGGCAGGCTGCTGCTCAGAGGACCTATGGGTGTTGCCTGCGGCGAGCGGTTGAACGAGAGGATGGGCGAGTCCTGCAGCTTCATGGAGGTCACTTCTAGTTTCTCCTGCCGCCTCCACTTAGCCCTTCTGTTCTGAAACCAAACCTGCAAGCAGAGCTGTATCAGCCAGGCCCTAGGCAGTGGAAAGAGGCTCGCCTCTGCAGCCGTACACGCAAAATAGAGTGAGGGAAAACACGCCTTGCTGAGCCGGGGCAGAAGGGAATTTGGGGGGCTCAGGCGTTCCTCCACGATCTGCAACCCTGCGCCCGGTGGAAAGCAGTCCCGGTGGAGCTGGCCCGCCCATCCACCCGCCACTGCCGTGGCACACAGCACATTCAGCAGCCCCGGGCTGAGACACGCCACTCAAAGGGCAGCAGCACCGACGACACGGCTGCCGGACGCAGGTCTGCCCCGAGCCCCGTGCTGTCCCGCCGGCCGGGCCGGCTCGCGGCTGTGCGGCAGCCGCGCCTAGCGCTCCAGCAGGGCCCCGAGTGTGGCCAGAGCCGTGGTCCCGAGTGTGGCCGGAGCCGTGCTGCGGTCACGGGCCTGCGCGCCGCACCGGGCCTGCTCCGGTCGCCGGGACCACGGGGCTGCACCGAGGCGCGTTGGGCTGGGCCGTGTGTGGCTTCCCGGCGCCGGGGGCCGTCGGGGCTGGGCCGTCGCGGGGGGCCGGGCCGGGCGTTACCTGGACGCGGACTTCGGGCAGATTGACCTTTATGGCCAGCTCCTCGCGGCTGTACACGTCGGGATAGTGGGACTTCTCAAAGGCACGCTCCAACTCGTGAAGCTGGTACGTGGTGAAGGTGGTGCGGTTTCGCCTGTGTTTCTTCTTGGGCTGTTCCTCTTCCGACGGCTTTCCCTCGCCGCCGCTGCCAGCGGGCAACTCGGGGCTGGCGCTGCCAGGACAGTACGGTTCTGCGAGGGGAAGACAGGGGGGTCACCAGCAGGATCTCCCCGCGGGGCTTTGCCCGGGGCGTAGGGGAGCAGCGCCCACCCGTCCGCCCCCCAGTACCCGGCGTTCGTCCACAACGCTCACCTTGGAAGCGCTCAGCGCGGCCCTGGGGCTCGGGCGGCGGCTGCTCTCCGGGCATCTTGGGCAGGCGATGCCGGGGCCCCCGCCGGTCCGCCTCCTTGGCGCTGCTGTCGGGCGGGAAGGCGCCCAGCAGCCCGTCTTCCTTGGTGAACCCCAGGATAGCCTCGATGCTGTGAAGCCTCGACGGGTTTCCCCCGGGGCTCCGCGCCGCCGGGCCGGCCAGCGAGAAGGCGCCCTCGGCCATGGCGAGCGGGGCGCCGGGCGGGTGCATGAGGCGGCCGGCCCGGGGCTCCGCCGCGGCTCTGCGGTCTTACCCGGCCTCAGGGCGGCGCGGGCAAGTCTGGCACGGTGTCGCCGGGCGGGCTGGCCTCCTTGGGGCGGGGGAGGAGTGCCAGGGGGCGGTAGGCGAGAGGGAAGGCGAGGCCCCCGCACATCTTCGGCATGGAGGGGGAGGCAGGGCATCTCCCGGCCCCCGCCGGCCGCCCCGCCCCTCCCCACCGGCTGCGGCCCCGGCCCCGGCCCCGGCCCCAGACGGCGCCGGGCGATGCCATCCGGGGCCCCCGAGGCGGGGCGGGGCGGCCCCCGCTGCAGCCGGGGGCTGGCCCGGGCCGAGCGCCGCTGTCGGAGCCCCTGGGCAGCGCTGTCGAAAACAGTGGTGGGACGGGCGGCCAGAGGCGTGCCGGGCACGGGGGGACAGAGCCGGGACGGCGGGAGCCGCGGCAGCCGCTGCCGGGGCGCGGTAAAGGGGACTCAACGAACAGGACGGGAAGAGAAGGGGCGGGAGTCCGGGGGTGCCGGGTCGGAGGACAGCGGGTCCCCGGAACGGCCCTGCGCTGTTCGGCGGCTCTCGGAGCCTCGCCGCGTTTCTCTTGTCCGACGGCTGCAGCCCAGATCCCTCCCAGACGGTTTGTAGGTGCGTCGGTTTCACGGCGGGCGCTCGAAAGCTGCCCTGCGGGACGATCCGCGACTCCGGCCCGACTCAGGGGCACTGGGTAAACGACGCTGCGCTGGTGCTCTGCGGTACGCTCGCCCTGCGAGCCTCCAAATGCATTTCACAGACCAGGTGCTTCCGGGCAGGATAGACGCAGGAGGTGGGCTCAGCCTTTCAGACTTCACAAACCCGAGGAAGCTCTAAGCAATATTTGCGAGGAAATTCAAGTACGCTGCTATGGGACAGAGCTTGTGATTCTGTGACCCTGTACTCCACGGTGCGCGTGGGCCTTGGGGGGGGGGGGGGTGGGTAGCAGGCAGGGCATGGCTTCATGGGGGATGCACAAAATGTTCTTGGAGGTGAGGCATGGAGCCAAATCCCACACATTTCTCTTTGTACTTGGCTTGGTGGCAGACGTGGACCCACCGCAGGACCAACCAGGTAAAGGCGTCAGGTCTCCTGCACCAGTCTTTCCTCTGCTTTTGTTTTTCTGTCACTTTCACACTAGCACTTCCCAGTTCCTCTGAGGCACCAGATGCCTTTTGTCCCAGCTTGTTTACGTGAACAAACTCAGTAACATCCAGAGTGGTTTTCAGTCTACACTTAGCTTTGAAGATGTTTCCATTTGAAGCCCGAGGAGAGTGTATGTGAAATAAAAACACCGCTGCTACTGCTCGTTCTTCCAGACATATTAACTAGTCTAATAAGTATAACCTCTCTCAATAAATCTGCATTTAAAAAAAATTCTCCTTCTGCCTCAACAGGCTCCATATCGTGCAGATTTTTTTCAGAGGAATCACTTCAAAGATTGGCAGTGCTTGCTTCTGCCAGTGTCCACACTTTTTGCAGGTTTATGTTCCGATGTCCCGAAGTAGATTTCTTTTAGGAGTGCATGGCTTTTCCTAGCTCTAGGTGAGGTTTGCCTTCACTGACTGCTTGGGGGTTGGTTTGAGGCCGAAAGAACTCAGGCATCCGTTTGCACGGAGAGGAGGCCAACAGAAGAGACAAGAAAAGGTTAATGTGGCTTTTGTGGACACTATAAAAAGCCAGTCAATACCATTGTAGGGACATTGGAGGGTACTCAAAGCAATCAGCCAGGGGCCATTGTGTTCCTTTAATCTACATGTGTGTTTCCCAGGAACTCTATTAGTGAAAATGAATGAACTGTGCAATGTCCCTAATTTCTTCTAATTTGAAGCTGGGGGTTTACAACATTCAAAATCAGCACAAAACACACCTGTCCCTCTAGAAGTCCTGGGCAAAATTAGGAATCAGTTTTGCTTGTTGTAGTTAAGAAATATAGGAATATGAGATGAAGAAGCAAAACCTCTTTAGTCAGTAACATAAGGGGCATTGGATCCTAGCACAGATGCTTCTTTTGGGGTACTTGTCAAAGTTGTCAATTACAGAGTCAATACTTGATTTTTTTGCTGTTAATCACAATATGAAGGCAGAAAAAAAAGCCTTCCAGCCCTGAAGCACGGTGCTTGAGTCCTACACAGGACACAAGAGACCTTCCTCCCTGACAGAGAAGGCTCCTTTTTCCTCAGGAGTAGAATATTCCACTTGTGTTTTCCATGTGGAGCTACATTTGTCACTGTAGCATCCTTCTTGCGGGTGAATGGAATTGTTGAGAGAGGAAGACACTCCCTTGATCCCAATTTGAAAAAATACCTGGAAAAAAACCCATAACCGTGTAGGCAGAGCTGAGAGAGCTCTGACTCTTCCAGCTATAGATCTGTCTTTTCTCTCTTGCCATGCTTCAGGCACAGACTGTGTGACATACATGAGGTGTTAGAGTACTCCAGGGAGGGAAAAAGTCTGATGGTTCCTCTGATTGCACAGAGGGTTTAGATAGGCAAAGAATGGTAACTGAACTTTTCCCTTTGGGTCTGATGTCCTGGTTGTCAGTTGAATCGCTTGCAGCCCTCTGGGAGATGTATCGTATTAGTATGAAGCCTCAGAAACTGATCCTGTGGTACATCCCAGCTTTGCAAAGACCATTGACCTTTGCAAACTTGTGGAGGCAACTAGAATCAAATTTGAGAGTATTTGTTAGGGGATGAAACAGGCAGGGTTTGTTACTCGCCTTTCCAAGGGTTACCCCCATTCCATCACCTTTTTATTTTTTTGCAATGCATTATTAAAATTTCTGCTGAAGTTATGCTTGGAAAGTAACAGAAGTTCTCAAGATGAACAATTTGTAAAGTGCAGCAGTCTGCTGTACCTCCTTCCTGTACATGTATAGTGAAGACTAAAGGGAAATTGTTTTCATCCTGTAGTCGCTGTTGAGACATACTCAACAGTGGACGTGGACGTGGTTTCACACAATGAAATCAGCACCATAAAATGCCACAAGTTCCTCCTTCCTTTTCTCCTGCCTTTTCTTTATGCCCAGGTGAAATAATTACTGCCTTGCAGAGCATAGATTTGCAACTGAAGTCACACTGCAGGAGAGACATCACTCTCCAGACCAAAGATGTGCAGCTGGGAGGACCTCCCTGAAAGATAAATGGGGCTTCCAAGGTCAGACTGCAAATCAACAGGAGGGAAGCAAGGAAAAGGAGGGAATATTCACCTAGAGAGAACCTGCACCCTCCTGCAGTTTTCATGCTCTGTATCATCCAGCAGATTGTTAAAAACAACCAGAAAAAAGGAATTTCTCCTCCCAAAAATTCCACCTAAGGGTGCAGTTTCAGAACCTTCTTGAAAGCATTATGCATGAGGAAGCTGCTGTCTCCTCCTGTCACTGTGTCACTCACACTTCTGTTGCTTTTCTGCTGAGACTTTTCTTGATCTGTCCAGGAGAATCAATCAGCTGTTTTCTCCACCTTCCAGAGTCCTGTCTGGCACCCAGGAGTTGCACAGAGATCTTCTTGTCCTGCTGTCTGTCCGGGCTGTGGGTATGGAATAGGCTCTGGGAGCCAGGCAGCCCTTTGTGGTGGACTGGGTGTGAGGGTGCTGGCATTTAGACTTGCCATGCTCACAGGGAAGGAGGGGAGGTTTATGCTATAAGGCTATATTAACACAATCCTTCTTTACTTGTTTTCCAATTAGCCTAATTGAATTCGGATTGCTTAAGCGTGGGCACTAGAGACATTTATCTTGATGGGATGAGGGTCTTGAGCTACAGCGATCCTATTAACACTAAGAACCCAAATCCCAGGTAGGGTCCATCGAGCAGTAGCTGCCACGTGACCTAACCCTTTAATCTGCTCCTGACAAAGACACATGGACACATAGACGTGTCCCTGTCCACTCTCACATGTGTGTTGCTGCAGGCACACGTGTACATGTGCATTTGTGCACAGATATGGACACAAAGATTCCCAGACTCTCATACCAGCACATGTGCACATGCAGTGGCTGCCCTGTGACCTGTCCCCAGGGCTAAGCACCTTGAGAGCTGCATGTATGTGGGGTGGCCTCACCACCTCCTACTCATGTGCCTCCCCAGGCCTGTGGCTGGTGGCTGAAGATGAAAACAGCCGGTGCTGGAGGGATGAGCCCTGCAGGTGCTGCCAGGAGCAGGCAGCCACCTTCAGCAAGCTGAAGATCAGGCTCCTGCTGAGGGCAGCACAGATTTGCCCCCCTGCCCTGGCTCTGCCACTCCGGACTAAATGTGGGAGCTCTGGTCTAACAGTGGTGACAAGGCAGCTCACTCCTGTACCAGCAGCACTTCAGTGGGGCTGGGCTCCCATCTTGTGTCAGTCCCAAGCCCCTCCCAGTCCTGCTTGTCTCTGCCAGCCCTGACACTTTTTTTGGAATCTCATTAATAATTTGTTTGGTGATTCTGACTGTACTTTCTTCTCTGACCCTTTAAACTGTGAAAATGCTGATCCTATATCTGCTGACAAATTTTATTAGATCCTTTAAAGCACCAGATGCTTTCAGTAAGATTTTTGGGATGTCCCAAGCACATTTTAATTCAAAGGTCAAAACCCTTAGGCTTGTTTATTTTGGTGTTTTATAGATAGAACAATTCGGTCTGTAAAGCAACACAACAGTGTGGGGACACCACCCAGATTTATACCAATGCAGATGGAAATGCATTAAGCCTCACAAACTTCAGGCTGGTTGAGCTGAGCTGGTGACTCTTATATCTACTTTATGTAAAGACCTCCTAAAGGACCCCACTTGTCTTTCCACATAGATAATTAGATTCTGCAGTGCCATGTGAGAGCAGAATCCCAAGAGGACAAAATCAGATCAGAAGTGTTGGTGATTTTAGGCAAAATACCTCTGATACTTGAGGGACCTGCTGAAGATAGGTTTTGTCCACTAAAGAAATTACCTGTTGGATGAGAGCCATTTAATGCACTAGGACATTCTCTGGAAAG